ATTTACAAATAACATTGAATGAATCTTGACTGTTTTCAGTACAGCAGGACAGGRAGACTGTAAAAAGGACAGTGGTTTTTACTTTTAAAAATCTCAAGGTATCAGCTAAGAAACCAGGTCTGCCAGAGGGTTGCACATATATGGTACTTTTATTTTCCTTTAATGCCCATATATACATATCAAACAAAGGAGCTCAGAGTGTACACATACATATACATGCATACCCCCCACTGTTTGGCAATCTGCTTTTGTTCATGATTTTATGAAGGCACTTCAGCCCTTTCAAAATCAAACATATTTTACACACTGATYAATTGAAAACAAGGGATGCTATCGTTCAAAACACAAAATCACCACATAACCCGAATTAACAAAACGAGGAAGCCTTTAATTACCTCAGGATTGYTAAATAAGATACTCCAGAGGTCAGGATAACAGTGCAATGTATGGACAGAGTGATTACTGATGCTGGAAGATGCTTCTGCCTGAGGTGAGTTAGCAGACACATCCTCAGATTAAACTTTCATCAGCAGATCTCTGTATATCATCAATCTTTCATTATGGCAGAGCTTAGAAAATCCTCTGCTCATGTGTCATTAGCAAACCTCTTCATCTTCCARAGTAGAAACTACCCAAATAAATTAGTACAAGCAAAAGAGTTAAAAAGAGGGCCTGTAGACCATTTGGGGGATCAAACAGATCAAAATACAGGGAAATATACATTTCTATAATATTTCAAAATTTAAATATTACTTTCACAGCAAAACCAGTGTGTTTTATTGTACAGGTTCTTGGACTAGAAGATACAGCTAATTAATGARATTCATGTGCAACAAGTTCTGGAAAAGCTTCCTACCTGAAACTGGGATTTCATTAATTTAATGAGCACTTAAGTAGCAATGTGATCCCCTCACTTTTTTTCTGGTGAAGGAAAACTCAATCAGGGAAAGTTCCTTTCGCAGTCAGTAAATGGCTTTGGTATTTCTCACCTCAGCAAAAATTTGCCAGGATGAATCCAGGGACTGTATACATAAACAGAGTTACAATGCAATTTCCAGCTTAACAATATGGTTTTCTCAGCCTGTGTTCTCCTGTCACCAAACGTTTTTTTTTTTGTGTGTTAGTGCTTCTTCAGCAAATGCTACATCTTTTATGCTACCCCTCAAACCATGTTTCCTACTCTGAACATCTCTATGCCTAAAACAGACTGTACATCCGATTATGCAGTCATAAGTTTGGTCTTTCTGCTTGTTTTTTTGATCTCCTSCTGTTTAACATCACATGCAGTCTGAGTTTACATACAAATAATGGCTACACTGCTTTTCCTACAATCTTATTTTTTAAAACATGTCAATAACACTTTAAACAAATTAAATTTCAAAAAGAGTGGGCTCCAGTCCTAAAAGTCATTCTGGAGACAAAATTTCTGTAGAAGTACCTATCAAAATTCTTACAAATGGCTACGAATAGAAAATCTTTGAAATCAAGCTTTTTATGAGGAAAAAACCTCAAATTCCAATAAATGYGGATAAGAACATTCGTGTGCCAGCAAATAACATATTAAATCTGGTTTTRACTATGCATTTAATACCTAAACACAATATATATTAAATGTTAATAAACTAATTCTTGCTGTTCCTTACAGCAACCAATCAAGAAAAGTCACGCTCTCAAGAAACAAGAATTGTTCACTTTGAACACAGAAAGGCTCACTCCCACTACTGACAACAGAAATATGAGAAAAAATTAGCTTATTTGCTCTGCCAGATTCTCTGTATTGTCARTGTCACACATAACAATACACACACATTTCCTTTGAGGAAAACAGTTGAGAAAGCTGCTACTTTTTATAACCAAAAGGAAGAACKGGGTTTGAGGGGTTCTTGTTAGTATTTTTTAACTTGGACCTGTATTTCTCCCACATATTCCATAACTAAACATTTTTCTTAATAGGGACATGAGTTTCTGCACAAGTGTCAGAAGAACTGGAATTCATCTTTGGCCCCCAAATATAGCATGAAGATGGGCAGGAGTGGGATCAGCCATTTCCAAAGTCTTGCAGGTAGCGTTTGGTAAATGTTGTGGGATACCATGGCAGATCCAAAGGTCAGAGCAGACAGAATAACCTGTGCACACACAACCTTTCCCAACAACTCCTATCCTACTGACAGGGCTTATATTCATCTAGGAGAGTCTGCTTTTGCCTCCCACCCCCRGATACATTTCACCAAAAGCATACAACATTATTGGTGCCACATGATTGCAGAAGGTACATTTCTCTTAAATGTTTCCWAAAAACATCATGACCATTTCTGTCTTTAGGAAAAGCAAAGAAGAAACATATGTAAGTATTTGGGAAAAGAACTGTAAATGCTTCAAAAAAAATTACTGAAAACCAAAGCTGGCTTCCTTTACTCTGTAAAGCTAYATCACATTTAGGTGTCCCTTAAAATGCTATTTATTTTCTGACCAAAGCAAGGGACTGTAAAATCTGACTCGAAGGGAAAAGTGTAATGTACCCATTTTCTAATGCAAACAAAGAACTCTAATGGTTTATTCATTGTGATTTAAAACCTTTCTACTTCCCAGCATTTCAAACTAGATTTGTCCCTTTTAGATTGCTCATAAATTTGTACCAGTGGAAGTGAAAAACAGTTAACCAACCCCGAGTCAACCATCAGTCATTTTATAAAAATAAAAAAGTTAGAAACCTTTAGTCACCTGAAAAATGAGTCGCCTTTCCTTTTGGAAATTGCCATTGATCATCAGAAAGTTTGAGGAAGACAAAAAAAGCTTCAGAAAATCTTTTACTTGGAAAGGTTTTTCAGGTTTGAAATTGCATTTGCCATCAAAAGCTAGAGACAAGAAACCCCAAGCAATAACTATTGCAAATACCTCAACAATCACAGAATCACGGAATGGCTTGGGTTGGGTGGRAACTCAAAGAGCATCTAGTTCCAGCTTCCCTGCCATGGGCAGKGACACCATTCACTAGACCAGRTTATCAGAGCTCCATCCAGCCTGGCCTTGAACCCTTCCAGGGATGAGCATTCACAACTTTTCTGGGCMACCTGTGCCAGTGTCTCACTACCTTCAAAGTAAATAATTTCTTCCTGAGGTGTAATCTAAACCTACTGTCTTTTGCTTTGAAACCATTTTGCCTTGCCCTGTCACTAYATGCTCTTGTCAATAGTCTTTTCTTGTCAATAGTCTTGCCCCATCTTTCCTGTAAGTTTCTCTCAGGTACTGAAAGGTCACAATTATGTCACCCCTCAGCCTTCTCTTTTCCAGGSTAAGCAATCCCAGTTCTCTCAGCCTTTCCTCACAGGAGATGTGCTCCATCCCTGTAATAATCTTGGTGGCCTCCTCTGGACTCCCTCCAGCAGTTCCATGTCCTTCCTGTGCTGGGACCCCAGATCTGGACACAGCCCTGCAGGGGGGTCTGAGCAGAGCAGAGCAGAGGGGCACAATCCCCTCCCYGSCCCTGCTGCCCACGGGGCTTTGGCTGCAGCCCAGGACACGTTTGGCTCTCTGGCCTGTGAGTGCTCATGGCTGGGTCACGTCCAGCCCCTCAACCACAGCACCCCCAAATCCCTCTCAGCAGGGCTGCTCTGGATCTGTTCATCCCCCAGCCTGTGCTGATACTGGGGGGTGTCCCAGCTCACATGCAGCATCTTGGTGTTGTTAAATCTCATGAGATTCCTGTGGCTCACTTCTCAAGCCTGTCCAGGCCCCTCTGSATGGCATCCTGTCCCTTGGGAATGTCAACCACACCACTCAGCTTGGTGTCATCAGCAAATTTGCTGAGGGTGCATTTGATCCCTTCATCTATGTCATTAATGAAGATATTAAGTAACACTGGTCCCGACAGAGATCCCTGAGGGGCACCACTTGTCACTGATGCCCATTGGGATTCTGAACCATTGACCACTACCCTCTGGATGAAACTGTCCRACCACTTTCATATCCATCTAACTCACCAAATCCATCTCTCTCCAATTTAGAAAGAAAGATGTAGTGGAGACTGTGTCAAAGACCTTTAAGAGGTCCAGACAAATGACATCTGCAACCYTTCCCTTGTCCACTGATGCAGTTACTCCATAGCCAGTATGCTGGGCAGGCAGTACTTACCTGACCATAATCAGATACGGACACAAAAGCAGAAGCTTTTGYCAGTCCTTACTATCCCTGTGTCAAGATGGGTACTGTCCTAAGATCCTGGACTTTCTTGATATGAATGGCAATGTATTGGCTACATCAAAATGCCCAATGGGACTGGGAGACACCTCACTGTCCTGCTCCAAATAAGTCACTTTTACAACCTTGTTTCCACAGCAATGTTACAAAAGATCAATCAGGAAGGAAACCGAAGGAAAGACTGCTTCCAGGGTAGGAAGGCCTTTAGCACATACTCCTGGTTGCTCTCCACAGCAAGGAAGAACTTCAGCTCCCAGGCAGACACATTTCAGGGACAAASCTATGTTTTCTGCAACATCCTTGGRGATTTTCTTACATCAAGAACTAGAAGTAATAGTAATGGTTTAAAACCATGACTTTTCCCTCRATCCAACTTTTTTTTTCCATTATGCCAAATACCTCAAGAAAGTAGAAACATATACAGTCAGAGCATAAACAGCRCATTTAACTTGGAGGAAAGCAGGAAAACATGCTTTCACATAGCCAGGAAAAACATACTATGAGACACATCTGAAAACATGCTTTCATGCTAAAAAGTACTACGTATATGTGWAACAAATCAATGTCACATGTGCATTTTATGCACTTGATTGAATTAATCTGACAGGCTTGCTCAGCGCAGGTTTAAAACGTAGCATAAAAGCAACACACTATGAAAAGCAGAGAGTTAAAAAAGTAATACCCGCAAGAAAAAGAGGCATTTGCCCACCTTCTCATAGCCCCTGGRACAGAATTATGTGTACTAGGTATTAGCAGACTGAAATAGCACCAAGTAAAGACACACAAGGAGAGCGGACACTCACCGACCATTGTCACGCCCCACGCCCCAGACTCGGATGCTCACGATGGGCTGCGAGTGCAGGACTGTGCGGTCCATGGGATCAATCAGGTTCAGCATGTCATTTTCCAGTATAAGGTACATGTCTTTGCCCTGCAATTCCACACAAAGTACAATTACACAGTACGTCACCCTCTCAACTTGGCTGGGCTCAAGGTGCTTTGTCTGTGCTGTTCAGACTTGCTTCATCTTTACTCAAAGTTTTGATTTGTTCCAGGAGCATATATTTCTGGTGTAAAAAAGGTCTAAGAAGTTATCTTGCTACTAAATTTTTCAACAATCCCAATCACAAAAAGCTTTGGTGTCTTTTAAATGCAACTCACTCAGACCCAAACTACTGAGTTATKTAACAAATTATGTGTGTATCTTTTTTTTCAGTAAATTCTTCCAAATATATGAGAAGTCTTAGTAGTAAAAGCTTATATCAAAACCTGTGCTTTTGAGGCAGCGTTCCTTCCTTCAAAGTGTTTTGTTTCCATAAACTTTAACCAATGGATTATGGGAACAGACAGCAATTTGTACGTGTCAAAKGATTTACAGAATACTCTTTGAAGAAAGATTAAAGGGGAAAACCTAGCGTTAAGACCTGAATGTGAATTCTGCCAGTGACTGCAGAATCCTGGAGCCAGGATTTCTCTCCTATTCTTCTGGCATGTAAGAACAAGGATAATGCTTTTTTCTCTTACAGGAAGCAAATTTAGAGACAATTTCCCTTTTGATACTAATTTACAAATACTAATCTTCCTCCTCTTGACAGCATTTGTAATAGGTCTGGTGCCTCTTCTATCACATGTAATACCCCTTTTCTTGGAAGCTTTACACATATCCTGCAGACCAYGAGATCCTGGAGAAATGATCCTGGCCCTATTGCTGAGCAGTAAGACAAGCTCCTGCTGATCAGAAGGTGGAAGATATCAGCTAAATATAATTTGTTTCCTCTTTTGTGCCACAATCCATACATGRACAGAAAGAATGGAAAGGGTCTGAATCCCTACTGACTGATGCTTCAAAACTGACCTTTTTCTTCACCACACAAAAAGACACAGAAACCCTCTTCCCACTTTGTTGCAGTGGCTCAAGTCCTAATGATGTCTAATTTTGTGTCTAAGAAATACACTCATTTCAGTCTGTCAGGGATTTCTGCCACTGTTTACAGCAAGGCAGCAAGGGGCAGGCACTGCCCAGCTCCTCTCGCAACCCCAGATCTCCTAAAAGGGATTCAAAGGCAAGCTGTGACACAGAGCTGGCAGTGCAAGAGCCAAGAAGGRTGTGGGAGAGAGAGATGACACCTGGTGTATGCAAAGCCTCCACAAGAATATTTTGCCTGATAGAAAGAACATATCTGAGGCCAAGACGCAAGGCTGGATACATAGGCTGCTCCTAGAGCAGCAGAAACAGATGTAGCTGTGATAATCATGCAAAAAAATGGGGCAAACCAGCAGCACTGAGCTGTTAGTGGCAGACMGAAAAAGAAACATCACAAAGAAAAAGAGGCAGAAATTTGCTTGGAGGTCAGAAGCAGTAAACAAATTGTATGAAGAATGCTACCAAGTGTCACAAAGATTGCTTTTTGGACCCATTTTCTACTTATATATTTGTTCCAGAAGGAAATTATTACAAGAAGGTAAAATCTGTTCATGCAAAATACATTGGGATTAGAGTAATGAAACTGAATCCAAATTAACTGGAAAAAAACTGGAGAATGGACAGATAAGCAACATAAATCACAGGAAATTATCCTTGCAATGCTCAAGGGGTTCACTTGTCCACAGCCAGAAGCAATATATTTTGCAAAATTTTGTTGCCTTATTATACAAAAGCTATTTTAGAGATGAAAGCACTGCATAGGTCAAAAAAGAAATTATTTAGACAGACTAGGAGCTTCAACATAGGCTTTAATGTCTCAGACTGCTGAAGAGCTGCAGAGGTGAAGAAGGGGAAGAGCCATGCAGGGAAAGTGAATAAAGGAAAGAGAGGCTCAGTCCCAGCAGCTTTTCTGGAAGTGTTAGAGGCTGCAGTATATAGGTCAATGGCGAGATCACTTCTTTTTCACGTAAGTGGTAGTGTAATATACAGAAAGGTAATTCATGGCAAAAGAGCAACACCAACAGAYGAGTAGCATTTTTCTTTTTAGATTTTATAAAATAGTAAAAGTTCAGAATTTATAGGTAATTTCTTTTTGAGCAAAAGGCATGAAATCTCACATTAAAGCCACTAACAAAGCTTTCACAGGGGCAGGATTTTACCCAGGGTGTGGGAGTGTTTGTGGTTTGTTCTGCAGTKTTTTAAATCATGAAAACTTGGGGCTAGTCCGATCCCCAATTTCACTTTCACTACATTCTAGCTAAAATAAATCTTTAGGCAATCTTAAAACCCCAATGTGCAGTCATCTAGCTTCATAATAGACTTCTGCTATAAATGCTCCATCTGTACTCCGGTCATGGGGTACAATATTTTGAGATTCTTCTCTAAAACATGCCTCTTCTAATCACTCTTGAAGCCTTACACCTCAGGCAGGAAAATGTSGTTGGATGCAATGAACTCTTCTAAAATCAGGAAGACAATTTACTTCGGGAGCCACCWATTCAAGCACAGTATCTCTATTGTTTTGTCAGGCTGAGGTTTGTTGTTTTTTTTTTAACGAATAACACTCCTAATTTAAACTTTTCACCAGCTTGGCTTGGAAAACTGCAACSGTTTCCAACAAAGAACAACGGGATTGATAGAGAGCAACACAAAAAAAATGTATACATTAACTCTTAAAATGAATCATRTGAGTTCAAAGTAAACAATATATTTCAAGTTGATCAAAGTGCTGTCATTTGACAAATGGATGAGATTACACAMATGTAAAGATGCTGGGGCTTTTCCTCTCCTAGGGTCAGCAGTAAGTCCAAGGTCCATGACTGACATATCTCTAATTGCYTGTCTAGCTGTATTATCTAAATAAAACTGCTCCCAGGTGTAAGAAAGGAAAATAACGTTATTTTGTTCATTTATATGTACAATATGTATTTGTTACATAGAAAAACCCTTCTGAAATGATTTTAAATAGATTGAACACTATAAATGTGTTCTTTTAATCATAATTTTAATTTTTAAAGGCATTTTCTCCCAGTTGTTCCTCTGTAGCTCTCAGCATTGCTGTGGTCATAGCCAGGACAGTGGACTCAAGTCACAGACTGCAACAATAACTAGGGAGAATGAATGTTATTTTTTCCTGAAATTTTTACTGAAATGTAGACAAGTCTTTGGTTGGAATTGCCATTTCTCTTAGATCACACAAGGGAAAGTTACAATATTTACTATCTTGTCACATTTGTACTCAGACCTTGTRTGGCAAATCCACATTAGTGTAACCCTACTGAAAATATGTCAGGAGAGAGACAGAAAATAAGATTTGGTGGAAGTTTAATTGRTTCCATGAACAATCAAATAACAAAGACATTTTACTGTGGCCTTTTTTCCTGACCTCTCTGTACATCCCACCTTTYCCCTTCTTGTTTAATTTACTGACCCTTCAACATCTTCCCCTTCTTTATCTGTCCCCAGCACRCCTATTTTCCACACCRCAAAACTTCAAACTCCTTTCAGTTTTCCCTGCGTTCCCACGGTGTTATCCTGTCTTAGATGCCAGCTCAGAAAGAAGCACAGAATGACCACRGCTCAGCTGATGAAGGAACACTGACCCTTCAGCAAACCAAGAAAGAGGAAAGCTGGGCYCTCTCTTTTCCCCTCAGTGTGTGGGAATCCTGCATCCTTCAAAACTGGATGACACTGGAGCACAGATTCAAGAGTTATCGGAGAAGAACCAACAGACAGACTGATGACATGCTATTAATTTCCTTCTGAAAGACTGATAAAATAATCATCCTAAGATAAACCATCTGCCCATCAGTTCCCATCTTGTCATACATTTCAGAACCACAAACCATACCAGTGTGGGTTTCCTTAAAGTCCTTTGTCATTGGCAAATCTTTGAAAATGCTGTTACAAAGCATCACAGTCAAACCTATGGTCAGGAGGAAGACTTACACTGAATTTAAAGAGTTTTATTTGTGTGTCCCCAACACTGCCATTGCACAGGTGTGTATCAGCACAGATGCAACATGAAAGCAAGATCTTTGTGGCATCTGCTGTCCTTAGCAGTTTGGAACAAAAAAGTCAACATTTTCCCTGAGCCCTTTCATATATTTTTTGGCAGTCCCAGGCTAAGGTAGTGAAACCCCAAGCACAGAACATGGATGCAGCTGTCTATGGAATTGCTCCTTTCAGATGTTTTATGACATGAGAGGGATGTTCCAAGAGGAGAGAAGTTSACTCTGTTCTTACCTCTCCCCAAATGCCAACAGTGTCCCTGATGTCATTTTTGCAGTAAGAGAGTTGTCTGATGCAATTGTTTACAGCAACACTGCTCTTTCCAGGAGCTAGATCTTCTTCTGCCATTTCTACCCAGCCCAGAGATCGCACAGCAAAGCACTAAAAGAAAACAAAAAAAATCTGTCATACAACAGCAACTAGGCATTTAAGGTTAAAGACATCCATCTAGAAGGGGAAAAGAAATATGGCTTTGTAGATGGGCTTATTGTCAAAGATAAGTAAATAGAAATGTGATTTGTGAATGGCAAGGTGAAAACATTTAAAGGAACAAAGAAGAATGCATGGCTTGCTATGAAAGGTRTCTGTGGAGGTAACAGTAATGCCTCTCAATGAAATACTTTTGTGAACATAAAGAAGGAAACAAGGGAGCAGTAAATATTAGGAGAAACACAAATCCAAAAAGAAAAGGAAAAGACACAACTACAGATAGAGTAGAATTGAAATTTTAGCTAAGATCTAGAGCTCCAGCTGAAAAGAAAGAAAACACTACTACATTATGTCTCTTGTGAAATGTCCACTCTCTGGCTTTTAATCAGAAAATAACACTTTTGTGTGGATTACAGCAATCACTTCTACAGTAAGTTTAACTAAGGTAGCAAACAATAACAAACTCAYAGCTAAGAAAAGATAAGCTATCATAAGAGGAAAGCAGACTTTTTCTGGAAGAAATTAAAAATTATCTTTAAAATAAAACACTTTAGTTACACATTTTTTAGCAGAAAGATGTTTAGCCAACCAGAGCACTCAGATGGCAGAATAAGCCAAGTCAACATTATTTTACACATATGGTACTTTTAGAAAACAAAACAAAATGGAAGAAATCGAATGGCACTACCATCTCTACCCTACATCTACTAAGGTAGAGAATGAAAAGGGTTAATTCTGAAAAAAAAACCCACCAAAACCCACTTATTTGCTCTCAGGCTTTATGGTGGGAGAAATACAGACCTCAAACTAAGTCAACAGGGCTTTGTCTATGAGACCAAGACTTCTTCCAGAGAACATTCCCGGTGTCTCGCTCTCAGCCCCAGATGCACTGCCAGCATGGGCACCACAGGCACTGCTGCATCTCCTGAGGGACACACCAGATGTTTAAGATGGTCCCTAAAGGCTCAGCAATAGCAGACCAACACTCCTGGTGCCACACAGCTTTCTTTGCTGTCAGCAGCATCCTGCAGGTCCTCGGGAAAGCAGACAATGATCCTGGGAGTGGCAGAAATACAGCAGAGCCGGTGACTGCTGGGAGCATTGCTGCCACAGCCCGCACAGCCCAGCAGCAACAGCAGGTCCATGATGGAGTTACCAACCCTTCTTCTTAAAATGCAGTAAATAAATAAACTTCAGAGTTCAAAAGCTAAATATTCATTTGCCACCTTCTAAAACCTGCTGTGAACTCAGTGAGTTGATCAAGCTCACACACCATCAGTGGTGTGCCATTTGGGAACAACTCATCAAAAAAAAAACCAATCCCAAAACACCAAGGCATTCTAAATATGCATAATATGTCAACTTTGGCAAACTAAGGGAGGAATAAAATTCACCAGTCAGTAAAAAGATTAATGAGTGTCTCCCTCCCTTTAAAACTTCTCCTTCAGCCTTCTTCCAGTTTGCACAATGCACTCATCCAGRCTCACTTCACCAAGCAGGAAACTCAGCCTAAGAGCCTGCCTCCTGCACCTCTGGTACCCACTCCAATGAGTCACTCAGGATGCATCTCATCTCAGTTATCAGTGAATACACTCTGCAAYTGTGCAAAGCCCTTTCATGAGTGTGAGTTAAAAAATTAAAGCCTTTCAGGCTGCCAGATATTTTGTGGATCTTTTTTTGTGGGTTTTTTTTTTGTTGGTTTTTTTGTTGTTTTTTTGCTTCGCAAACAAGGGAATCAGTATGCAAATTCTCCCACACTGCTGCTTCCTGACGCAGGTCTGCTGGAAACCCACAAAAATGCTGATTTTCAAATATAAAGGGCCATGAAGGAGAAGGTGAAAGAGGAGACAAAGGAGGGGTCAACCCTCAGGGATGTTCTTAAATTCAGGGCTACACAAGATAGTAAAAACTAATTTTTTAGCAGTTATTAAGGTGGTCTAATCCTAAGATTTCAGAATTGTTTCTGGCACATCAGATGCTCATSAATCTTGCTAAAAGTGCTGCTATACCCACTGGGATATTAAATATTTATCTTTGCAAGCTTTAAAAAACCTGATTTTTACTGTACCAGAAGAAAGGGGGTTTTTAAAACTATTTAAATATTAAACTGAATAGCAAAATACTAGCAGAGAGAGCCATTTTCTAAATCATAAGAGAGGTGAAGAATTAAATATATGCAATAAGCATACTGTTTCCTTGTTGCTCTTCRTATCTCAACCATATCTGCAATTTGTTAGCTGCTTTCTGAACACAAAGATAAATACAGAATCACAGAATGCTTTGGGTTGGAAGGGACCTTAGAGAGCCCTTGAGATTGAGTTCCAATCTCCCTGCTGTGGGCAGGGACACTTTCACCAGGGCAGATTGCTCAGAGCCCCATCCAGCCTCTACAGTCCTCGCACTGAACAGGGTGTATCTTAAGACCAAAAAATGATGAAAGACTATCAGTTCAGCTTAACAGCAGGTGAATCACTTATTAGTAAAGATGATGAACTGTTTTGCTCTTTTTTTTYCCTGGCYTTTTTAAAGTCTATGTTTCAAATTYTCCAGTGGCAGCATYCACTGCATTTATTCAGCCCTCTGTCAGTACAGTGAGGTGAATGCAATGCTCCTGTCCACCCCACATATTGCCCTCCATGTGAAGGACTTGGCTTCCTTCCCTGCTTCTATTCCTTCTCCCTGTTTCCCAGTGAGGTAGACATGGGACAGCCCTTGGCAACTGACAAGTTTTTGTTAGTATGTCTCACAARAAGCCCTTAGGATAACCCAAACAAAATGCTTCAGAACAGCTTCATGAAGGAAAACAGTTTCCTAAAGACTCACTGCAAACAAAAACCTCTCAATAAATGCTAAAAGGACCCAACACTCCATTCGCAAGGCAACGCATGGACCTGAGTATATACATAWAAGTAACTTTCTTTTTCTCCAAATATACCTAAAGACCAAAAATGTTGTATTTTGTAGTTAACTGAATACTGTGCTGATGTGGCTCAGCAGTCATGGCTGCCCTTAATGATGATTTTCAGAACTAGGAGACAGGAGGACCCAKTAACATGAGACACATCCCAGGGTCCACTCAGCATCAGTATAACAGAAATATACAAACACACACCTGTGGAGTGGGAGCAAGGTGGAAATCTGAGCATGCATGCCTGCACATCTGTCTCTCTCTGCACATTGCCAGTAGCTGGATTATAAGAGATTCACTTAATGTTTTATTGTTGGTTGCTTTTTTCCTCCTTCATGATTTGACTTAGAGCTTCTCTTCTCTTTAAAACAAAATAGCACAAAACCCAGCAGAAACAAACCACCTAGTGTCTCCACTCAGATATGACCTAATTTCCAGACCATGCCTGGCTGAGTCAGGAATGAGAGCAGATTTGCTTAGTACCCTAACACATTAACACAGCATCATGGCTCCCTGCCTCCCATTATGATACTCACCAGCCAAGACACAAAGTACTTCCTTTGACCACAAAGAGCTTTGCTAATGCTCTCTTTTCTTCTGGAACTAACACCTAGAGGCAAACCAWGCCAAGCTAAAAAACAGTGTAGCTCTTCTTCATTAGGAGTCTATGGACTCAGTAAAACAATCATTCCTGGTAACACCAGTTTGTTAAGCACTTCTACTCGAGGTTCACAGATAGTAAGCAGCAACTAAAAATATTTGTCATAATTTCAAAGTAATCCAATGCCAACTTTTGGCTTGACAGTAGTCTTTTCTCTCTTAGAGAAAGTTTTCTGTGCCTGGTCCGGCTGTCTGCTTGGCCACAGATCTTTTTCTGGCTGGCAAGGAGAAACAGGTTTGAAGGAAAACAAGACGTTGATAAATACAGCAGGATGAAAGATATTTAGGAATTGTATAATATGTTTGGAACACTGCTGTTTGAGATTGGGAAGATCAAAGACACTCTCACAAACAYTGCATGGGTGAGAGAAGTGAATGAAAAAAATGTCACTTAAACCATGGTATGTCAATAATCTTGTATTTTTATCTTGACTAGAGACTTCACATTTCCTGCCTGGCCACATAGGACATTGTGCAAGGAAATGACACAGAGAAAAAAGATCCACCTTATCACAAACTACCCCATGAAAAGACAGGCAAACAAAAATRAAAACACAGGTACTTCTGCTTGGTTTTACAGTTCTGCATAGCTGCAAACCCAATTAATTTTTCAGAGTTAATGATCTGTAACCAAAGAACCAAACTCATAAATGCTGTTATCTGAACTGTGTATGGAGCTGTAAACCTCCCTTGCAGTGCAGTTCTGATCCAAAACATTGCCTAAAGCTGGGGAGCTTTTAGGACTGAAGAAATGAACAAACCACAGATTACATTTTTGCTCTTTGGCATTGCAAACCTTCCCCACAGGACAGGGTTCTGCTCTGCAGCAGCTTTTCCAAGAGGAACTCTGGAAGGAGCTTTGGCAGCATTTAGAACCCTGACAAAGTTCTGCCAATAAGCAAATGCACACTCTAGCTGTTGCTTCAAGAAGCAAGTTAAGCAAGTACCATTAAAGAAAATAAAAATAAAATAATGGAGAAAAAACAAAGCAAATACAATCCCCTACTAAAAAGAGGACAAGACACCAAGTGCACAACTTATGGCAGAGTAGTATTGGAAATGATGCCTAAAACAAGGTTCACCTGAAACAGAGGCCAGACAAAATTAAGAGARTAAAAACAAACAACTTTAATACAGGCCTACTGGTACCAGTTGTATAAAAAGCCTCATCCTGCAGCTACACCCAAAATGGACACTGAGTCACAAGATCTTCACCATTTATAAGTTCTGTCTTATTAACATATTGGGCCTCCATTCCCCAGTGATACTTTCAGGACATGATATCAACCACCCCAAACTTGCTCCCTCCAACTCACTGTTGTTTACATATTTTGGGGCTCTGAGGCATCAARGTCTCCTTGGATTCAGGCTCAGAGAAGAATTG